AAACCGAAGATCGGAGTGGCGCAAACCGGTGACAAGTTCCCCACCTTCGACCTGACATCTAGACAATGCTCCAGGCGACGTGCCACAATTGCCACACAGAAGTTACAAGCTTCTACAAGCCCTACATGAAGCGCCTTCGACGACAGCAGGTATACAAGCCAAGACCAAGTCTCCTGAACTGAACAATCATCAAAACTGTGAATTTTTAAAACCTACATAACTTTCTCCTCAAGCTCACAACGTGATTCCCCATAAATTTTGTGTTTATTTTCACCGTAATGATTTTATATCTATTTTCTATCTTTTTATATATTTTTAATTCAATTTTTAAATCTTCCACACTCTCATTTATCAATTTTTACTTTATTTTTAATCAAATTATAAATTTTATTTCATTACTTTCAATTTTACTTTGAAAAATTCGCACATCACTCATTTTCATTAACTTACTAATTTTACATGTCTTGCCTAAATTTACCTAAAATGGCATTATCCAAATCTTCAACTTAAAAAAAATCATTATTTAAAAAAAAACTATTATATCATTTTTTTTCTAAACTTATTTTTGTGTTTATTAATATTTTATCATTATACCAAAACACCCATTTCTCCATCAAATTCGTAAAGTTTTAAAAAATAATTGTAATATTTAGCATTTTATATAAAGCCCCCATTCAACTTATTTGTCACTATCACGACATTGCCCTTTCACAAGGATCGTTTTAGCAACAATAACCAACGATAAAAAAATCAAATTTTGAAATATAAATTAACATTGGTGTGAAACACTTTTCTCAATTTCAGAAATATTTTGTTATTTTTCTCCTGAGAGGCAATATCTCAAAATCATATCAACTGTCCTTCCCAAAACAAGTTAAAAATAAAGATCACGTCCACTTCCCCGCCAGTAGCTAAATTAGGTCACCGCCCGCCAAACTTATTACCACCGTTAAATTCTAACATAGTTACACTCCCTCGTCTTTTTCTTTTACATGCATAAATAAGCAACAACATATCTATTTCAACAAAATTTACAACACCCTCACACATCATTTCTCCAATTTGCAACAATTATTAGCGCGCGACTTAGCAACAAATCAATCTCACACAAGCCACATAGGCTCCATATCGTCGACACTAAGCGTGCCACATCCACTAACAATCTAAAAATTCTCGATATGTTTCGTAAAACCACCTTCCATGACTCTAGTAAACTTTTTATTCATGGTGAAACAGGTTAGATTTTGTACCAAACAACGACTTCACGTGACACCATTCAATTCACTTCACAAGTGTCACAAGGCAACAAAAAAAATATTTTTTCTCATTTTTCAGGCCAAAGACACCTTTATGCCTGTGACATATCTCACCCCAAAGCGTGTCCACGTCGAAAGTCAAGCTTTTCACACATCTGACCTGATCACCGTGAATAACATTTTTTACTAAGTCTAAACAACTCCGAAAACACAACCACTTACTAACGCCGAGAAAACTACATCTTTCAATTAGAGCATAAAAGTGCCAACCTCAACAAAAGAAGAGAATGAAAGTCAATTTCAAGTAGATGACTTATATATAACAAACACCCCGCAAGAGTGATCCCCCAGTAATAGGATCCCCCAACGTTATTTCATTCAGCCCCCCATTTCCTCTGTGGACAACGCCCGTCCTTCCTCTCCGCTCAAGGCAGATTTTCTTAAAAAGCTGTTATATCTTCATTATCGCCATTTTGTAACACGTATTTCACACCAACCATTTAGGTTTTCTCGCAGATCTCACAAGCTCCTTAATCACAACACACAACACATTAAACATTTAATATGTTAAATTGATATCACAATACAACATATTAGTAATAATTCCAGTCAATAAATTGCGCTTCTGAAATTTTCTATTTATGCAACTTACATTACAATTCACATAACAAGATTCTTCTTAAATCTCCATCATGCTCCTAGCTCGACTTTTATCTGTTCACGGAACTTTCCTAGTACAACTGTGTCTCTTCGGTTTTGTGTATGGACATTCCCAAGTTTTCCACTTTGCCTCGACCACGACTGCCTGTACTCTGTGTGAACTGTTAAAGGTCTTTCAAAGTGCAGAGATGTACTGGAAAACTCTCCACATCCTGACTGTTCCTCTCGGTTAACATAGTATAGTGAGAGTCGACAGGATCTCACTATATATATATATGTAATATTGTTGCAAATGTCGATGTATGGATGAACTGGCAGTCGTGTACGTGAGGCGAGTGTTGATGATCTTCCCCCAGCGGACAACAAGAAGCAGAGGCAGGGCTAGATGTTAGCACAGAGCGTGATCGGGGACAGTCCACGGGACAGAGGTAGAGGCCATGACACAAACTTGGATGCTTATCACTGAGACATGGAGAGAGAGAGTGTGTGTGAAAGACAGCAGCCGTCTGTCGATGGCCACCCTCTAGAACATACTGCCGACCCCCTGCCAACATCTGTCCTGTTTTCAGGGGTCGTCTATAAAGAGTCCCTGGGGGCCCCACATGGGCTTTGGCATTTTCCTCCTCTCTCCCCAGCTGTTTCCAGCTGACCGCTCTTTGGATTTTTATTTTTACGTCATTTTTAGTGTTACATACAAATAAGGGTTTACAGGTATTATCAATAAAGATATAGCATGTATACAAAATATTGGGTGGTAGTAAATAGAAAGTGTCATTATTATACAGTTTAAAATATACTATATCTCTATGTATATAAAAGCCAATGTCTGTCTGTCTGTTTCGCGATAAACTCAAAAACTACTGAACCAATTGGTACCAAATTTTGCATGTCGCTTTTTATAAACCTGAGGAAAATTTTCGGCTGCATTTTGATTAGTATTTTTGACTATTTCTTTTTTCATTTGAAGAACTTTTTTCTGACGCGGACTAATCCGGAATGATATGAATACCAAAATATGGCAATTTTTTAAAGCATCGGTGGTTCAGTGGTAGAATGCTCGCCTGCCACGCGGGCGGCCCGGGTTCGATTCCCGGCCGATGCATTTTTTTTTACAATTTTTAAAACTCATTTATATTATATATAATATAAATATATATTATTATATCAACTATATCAATTAAATCAAATACCTAAACACTAATATAATACAATTTTTGCCATCACACACACTTTTTTCCTGTAGTTTATGTTTTACTTCTGTATTGCTATTCTATGGCACTTCTAATATTTATTATTGATATACTTTAAAGTATGAAGGAAATTGCACCCAAGGGATTTCTCGGGCGAAGCCGGGTCATTCGCCTAGTATATATATATATATATATATATATATCATTAGAAAAAACCCTGTTATATTCATAAATAAGTTAAAACAAAGCATCTAGGGCTGCGTATCTTTTATTTCATAATTATAACACAAGCTTTAGGGCTCATACACCCTTCGTTTATTAACTCCTCTAGAAGGGCGTATGAGCCCGAAAGCTTGTGTTATAATTATGAAATAAAAGATACGCAGCCCTAGATGCTTTGTTTTAACTTATATATTATTATATATATATTAACTAATATATATATATATATATATATATATATATATATATATGTCGTAAACCCGGGTAAGACAACACGTGAGTTGGAAGCAGTCGGGGTTGAGTGGCAAGGCGTGCAGAGTGGGAATTCCGCACGGGACAGTAAGGACAAAGTTTGGGATCAAAAGACGCTCTCCCAGTACGTTTCAAGTTGCACCAGAACCAGGGGGAAGTTGAGGATTAACAGAGGAAAGCTCGGCGTCCAGCCTGAAGCCGCGGAGGCTGCGAGATGACAACGGACCTAGTACCGAGCGGGCCTGTCCGAAATATCCACTGTAACCTAACTGTCAACATCTGGACCAATGCCCCTTTTTGTCCCTCTCTGGATCCCCCGGGTGTTGATGCTCATTGGTCAGTCTTATGTGGGTCATCCTCCCCTCCCCTGGGGTCCGGTGGCAAACTGGTGTCACTTTGAGATAACTAGAAAAGACGTCATACTTTACCGTAATTTAAACAAAGATATGTAAGTAACTTTGTTTAAATTACGATATATATATATATATTCTAGCCGAGGGACCCGGGCAATGCCTCGGGTTTGTCCGAAGGGCCCGCAGAGACATTAGGAGTATAGATAGTAGCTTGAAAATTGCAATGGGTATAATATGATTTTCTATAAGAAGTATTTTAAAGTATAAGGGTGTGTAAAAATACTTTCTAAGTAAAGTATATACATTCGGGCGGATGATATATATTTATATCAAAAATGAAAATGGAATCATATCATCCACAGAAAACCTTATAATTAACAACATAATAGACAGCACAGTGCAAAAAATGTATAAAATAATGTATAGAGCAGTGGTGAAATCTATATATATATATATATATTGCCACGTTTTTATTTTTTAAAACGCTAATTTTAGTTTAGTAAAACTTTATTTTTAAAGTTTATTATTTTAAAAGTGAAATGTTTGTTAATGAAATAGACATTTTACCTAAACTCATTTTATTGCCGCTTTCTTTTACAAGCCATTTGTTTATCTGTATTTTTTCATATCGTTTTTATTGAGTTTTCAATAATTTAGTATGTACATCATTGACTTTTAATGAATGGAAAAAGAAATTGAAAATAAACATATGAAAAATTAAAGTAACATTTTAAAGGAATTTATGTACAATTGAAAATTGTTTCTGTAACGTCTCAATATAATTGAATGTCTGTCTGTCTATCTGTCTGTCTGTCTGTCTGTACTCTATAGATTCAAAAACCATACATCCAATCGCCGTGAAATTTTGGGATATTATTAGGTATTTAGAATACAATATAACGTGGCTAATGATTGTAAAACGAAAATTGCAATTATACCGCGAATGTTTCTTTTAAACAAAAATCGAAATACATTTTAAAGAGAAATAACGATTATTTCTAACTTTAAGGATGAAGTATGATAGGATGAATTGTGAAGAGCAATGACAAACGGAAAAATAATAAAAGTGTCCAGGGGCGGGAATCGAACCCACAACCTTCTGCTTACCGGGCAGGTGCCCTGCCCACTAGGCTACTAATCGTTATTTCTCTTTAAAATGGATTTCGATTTTTGTTTAAAAGAAACATTCGCAGTATAATTGCAATTTTCGTTTTACAATCATCAGCCGCGTTATATTGTATTTTAAATGTATTATAAGTTACTTTGAATATTATTTACGAACGGAAAAATACGTCCAGGGTAGCCTAGTGTACATGGCACCTGCCCGGTAAGCAGAAGGTTGTGGGTTCGATTCCCGCCCCTGGACACTTTTATTTTTCCGTTTGTCATTGCTCTTCACAATTCATCCTATCATACTTCATCCTTAAAGTTAGAAATAATCGTTATTTCTCTTTAAAATGGATTTCGATTTTTGTTTAAAAGAAACATTCGCGGTATAATTGCAATTTTCGTTTTACAATCATCAGCCGCGTTATATTGTATTTTAAATGTATTATAAGTTACTTTAAATATTATTTACGAACGGAAAAATGCGTCCAGGGTAGCCTAGTGGACATGGCACCTGCCCGGGAAGCAGAAGGTTGTGGGTTCGATTCCCGCCCCTGGACACTTTTATTTTTCCGTTTGTCATTGCTCTTCACAATTCATCCTATCATACTTCATCCTTAAAGTTAGAAATAATCGTTATTTCTCTTTAAAATGGATTTCGATTTTTGTTTAAAAGAAACATTCGCGGTATAATTGCAATTTTCGTTTTACAATCATCAGCCGCGTTATATTGTATTTTAAATGTATTATAAGTTACTTTAAATATTATTTACGAACGGAAAAATGCGTCCAGGGTAGCCTAGTGGACATGGCACCTGCCCGGTAAGCAGAAGGTTGTGGGTTCGATTCCCGCCCCTGGACACTTTTATTTTTCCGTTTGTCATTGCTCTTCACAATTCATCCTATCATACTTCATCCTTAAAGTTGGAAATAATCGTTATTTCTCTTTAAAATGGATTTCGATATTTGTTTAAAAGAAACATTCCGGTATAATTATTAGGTATATCCCCGGGAAGGTTTTTGAAAAATAATTTCATGAATATCTTGAAAATCCTTAGAGTTATTTGCAGATTTGTAGATTTAACTCGCAAGCAGCGTCCCCATTGCGACGATGATAACTAAGTTTGTTATCTTAAAGATTATTTATCAAAAGTAAGATTTCTACCTATTAATTTCGTACAAGTCAAAGTTAGTTTTATCATTTATCTACAACATATATTGGGAGAATAGATAAAATGATGATTTTGTAATGTAGAAAATTAGGAAAGACAAAATTCAGGATGACACGGCAATTTATTTGAGACAAGAATATTGATAATTAATATTGATTTAATTCAACTTATCGAGTATTTTTTAAGGGACCGGGGAAAAATGTTCACTTTATCGAGAGATTCAAATTTACGAGTTTCGAATTATCAAAATATATCTATTATTTTTGTTATAAGTTTATTATCTTAAAGATTATTTATCAAAAGTAAGATTTTCTACCTATTAATTGCGCACAAGTCAAAGTTCGTTTTATCATTTATCTACAACATATATATTGGGAGAATAGATAACATGATGATTTTGTAATGTAGAAAATTAGGAAAGAAAAAATTCAGGATGACACGACAATTTATTTGAGACAAGAATAATGATAAAATTAATATTGATTTTATTCAAGTTATCGAGTATTTTTCAAGGGACCGGGAAAAAATGTTCAATTTATCGAGCGATTCAAATTTACGAGTTTCAAATTATCAAAATATATATTTTTTTCATAATTTGATCATCTTAAATATTATTTATCAAAAGTAAGATTTTCTACCTATTAAATGCGCACAAGTCAAAGTTAGTTTTATCATTTATCTACAACATATATATTGGGAGAATAGATAAAATGATGATTTTGTAATGTAGAAAATTAGGAAAGACAAAATTCAGGATGACACGGCAATTTATTTGAGACAAGAATAATGATAATTAATATTGGTTTTATTCAACTTATCGAGTATTTTTCAAGGGACCGGGAAAAAATGTTCACCTAATCGAGAGATTCAAATTCACAAGTTTCAAATTATCAAAAAATATATATTATTTTTTACATATGTTATATTCAAATGGCATTTATGTAGGGATAATTTTATTGTTAATTTTCAATTTGATGTATTGTATACATTTGATCATTAATTAATTATTATTCAGGTATTAAAACTGCCTTTTTGTTCAAAGACAGCAACGTTTAAACGGGTACAGCTAGGTGGAGCAGATAATCAAACATAAAATTATCTTGCCAAGTATAGATTCAGTAGGGATTGGATGTTTTCTAAAATTGTTTTAACTAATGTTCGTTAGGTAAACTTTCACTAGGGTAAAACCCGGACGAAGCCGGGTACATCCGCTAGTTAGTAAATAAAGAGAAGACCAATAAAATAAAAATAATTGATTAAAAAAATCATTTGATGTGAGAAACTATAGGCATTGGTGAAAAGTTTAACTGAATATATTTAAAGTGAAAAAAAGACAAAAAAATAAAGTTGCAAAATATATTGCAGAGGAGACATAATATTAAGGGTATTCATTTAAGGACCTGATTTAGAAACATTTCTAGTTTTATACATACGTGGGTTCAACTTTACACGTATGCTATCAAAAGTTCGCACAGGTGAAAAGGCCACATAGAGCTGTCCATGCGTAAGCACAGGCTTTTGTAGCAAAATACCCACTCTAGCAAAGGTTTGGCCTTGAGTAATATTTATAGTCATAGCAAAAGACAACCTTAAAGGAAATTGACGCCTCTTCAGAATGAAGGTAATGTTGGTATCTGAAGGAGCCAAAGATATTTTTGGCACCAATAGTGTGTCTAATTTTGTCCCTGTCAGTATTTGTGCTTCAAGGACATGAGAGCACATGCGCTGAATCACCATGCGTTGATTGTTAATTAAATACACTTTACCGCTAAAAAGGTATTACAGAGGCAAGCGGCGGCCGCTTAAAATGTACAAATTTATGTATTGAGCAGTGAGAAAAATAAAGAGAAGGCCAAAAATCTAAATAATTGATAATACTTTTTTGCAAACAAATAATACAAAAAATTATTTTCAGGAGAGAAACTATAGACATTGGTGAAATGTTTGAATGAATATATTTAAAATGGAAAAGAAAAAGATAATAAAATAAAGTTGCAAACTACAGAGGGTGTTCACAGTTATAGAGGAAACAAGTTTTATTATAAAATATTAAAAATTAACCCCATATTTGAAATTTTTCAAATGTTCTATTTGAAAGTATTTTTGTTTATTTACAGAACGGCACCTGATTTTCCACGATAGCAGACACTTTCTGATCATGGTCATACTTAAAAGATCCCATTCATCCTTTACCACTTTCCAGAGATAATCTTACCTATTTGGACATAGTTAAAATATGCAAACAAGATGATATCAACATTTCTAAAAAAGGTAATTATAATATTATTCACGACAAAAATATCAAGTTTTTATTCAAAGCACCTACGGAGAAATGGACAAAAGATTATCACCCTATATCTGTGAGAACTCCTGCAACTGTCAAAAAAGTGAAAAAATATATATTACAAAAGAAAATCCTATGCCACAAAGAGATATAGCCAAATTAATAGGAACATCAATGTCAACAATAAATAAAATAATAAATAAAGATTTAGGCTTAAAAGCTACAAAAAAACATGCCATTCACAAATTGTTTCAGAGCCATATTCGTCAGCGACACACTATCAGAGGATATTTTCATGAAATTTTCTTGTCTGCTGATAGATTGAAATTTATTGTTACATATGACGAAGCATGGGTATATTTAACCGATTGCGACAGAAAGAGCTATATACTATCAAAAAAGGATGGAAAAATCCAGGCCAATTTGGTTGAAGGAATGTGCCGAAAGTTACCCCAAAGGATTTATGGTGGCATGCGGTATATCATATGAAGGAAAATTAAAAATAAGAAAAGTTGAAAGAAATGCCAAAATAAACTCAGAGTTCTATCAAAACAACATTTTAGAACCTATATTTTCAAATGATATTCCCTCTATCTATGGAAAAGAGAGCAACAAATTCTGGTTTCACCATGATAACGCCACAAGTCATACCTCATCTTCAACCCAAGCTTATTTGGAAGATCTAAGGCAAAGAACAGGAATCAACACTATTCCTAAGAACAGAAACCCTGTAAACTCTCCTGATTTAGCCCCGATGGATTTTTGCATTTTTGGATGCCTTAAAAGAGCACTTGGAAAGAGACACCCTAGGAAAATTGAAGGTCTCTGGAAAGTGGTAAAAGATGAATGGGATCTTTTGAGTATGACCATGATCAGAAAGCGTCTGCTATCGTGGAAAATCAGGTGCCGTTCTGTAAATAAACAAAAAGGCTTTCAAATAGAGCATTTGAAAATTTTCAAATATAGTGTTAATTTTCAAATTTTATAATAAAACTTGTTTCCTATAAGTGTGAACACCCTCTGTATAATGCAAAGGAGAAATGTTTTGAAGGAATTCATTTAAAGGACCTCATTAAAAACAACATTTCTAGTTTTATATATGCGAGGGTTCAACTTTATACTTATACTATCCAAAGTTTGCACACGTGAAAAAGTCACATAGAGATGTCCACACTGTCAACACTGAATCCTGTTTGGTAAGCAATCCAATACTTTTTCAATAATTTCTAATAAATCTTTCTTTTTGGCATTAAAATCACAGACTTGCTATATATATAAATATAAGGGCGGTAATATCGTCATATAAAGAACCAAATATTTCTTGCACCAGGTCACTCGCATTAAAGATACAGCTTTCTGGAAGAGAAATGAGGCCCTGTTGGTCGATCACCATCACTAACTTTAAGCAACCATTGAGAGAAGCTTTGCGCATCAATACCTGCTCGCATATTCTGAATAAGGCGCAAGATCACAAACAATGGCCATAGCTTGCTGCGTTTAATGCAAGCAGCAACAATCTCAGCTCTTGAAGCCCGAGGTACCACAGGGAGCACTTGGCGAAAGTCACCTCCAAGAACAACAACCTTTCCGCCAAAAGCAAGGTCAAAATGCATAATGTCTCTTAGGAGACGATCCAGAATTTCAAGTCTACTGTAGTGGGCCATAGGAGCCTCATCCCAAAAATATAAGGAAGATTTCCGAATAAGCTCAGCCTCAGAGCTATTGACTGAGAGTGCAGATACAGAATTCTCAAGCAAGGGAATCGGCAGTTTACACCTAGAATGGACAGTCTAGCCGCCCGACAAAAGGGTAGTCGCTATTCCTGTGGAGGCCAGCGGAATGACAATTTTTCCAACGGCTCTAATACATTGGATACAACTCTAACAACACTCTAACACCAGGCCCATCACTTAAAAAGCAACATGGATTTGTGTTGACGGAATAAACAATTGACTTTTGATCTGGTGTAAGAAACGTATACATTTGTGTCCCAAATTGCATCTCCCCATTAACATCGAGGTGATCCTCTACTGAATCAAAAAGTGGGTTCAGGGGTGCAGGAAGTCCATAATGGTGGCAGCTGAGGCGATTTTCTCTCAGCTAA